AACTGCTTTATACTCGCTGATTCACTGCCTGTGTCTCAACCAACGTCTCGCTGGGCTTGTTCAACGTTGGTAATAATTCTTTTGAATAATTATTTTTGGTATATTAAACTTTTATCAAATCCCATTGGAAGTATAGTTATTGCTAACCTTTGCTCATCCTTCAACGTTAATTTAAATTGAAAGGTTTCTCAAATACATTCAGTTACTTCTTTGAAGAGATAAACAAAGTCATGGTTTTACTGTAACACCACTGATTGAATGCCAGCTAAAATTACATTGCGAAATATCGTACGAGTTAAATATTTACACGATATTAACTCATGGGGCACTTCTGACCAATGGGAATTTTGCGTACGCTCCGTACGCATAAATCGACTTTTTACTAATAAAGGTCGCAGGCCGTTCCTCCCATGCAGCCTCTGCCTGACAACGGCCTGCGAGCAGGCTAAGAGAAGGGCAGAAGCTTCACTCGAGTCGGAACCTTTGAAGTTTTTGTGCCGGCACATGTTACTTCCGGATCCTGGCCGCCATGTTGAAAGCAACCAACTCTGGTCCAAAACATTATAAACTAATATGGCGAAACTTGTATTTCATAACTTTAAATGGGTATATCGTCGTTACTTTATGGTGGATGTCATTGAAATTTTCAGGACGTACAAAAGAAAGGTAGATTATTCATTTTATTGTAATAAAAGCTTATTGAATGATGCTAAAATTGTCATTTTAAACGCAGCAAACTGTATGTGCTGTTTTGGCACCGATGGATATATACGCATTTATATGTTGTTTTTCTGAGTGTAGTTTGAAACTATTGCAACTACTAATCCACTTAACTTGAAGAAAAATGCGTCATATCTTGTTTTTAGAACGCAGTAGGTTGAATTTTTTTAATTTTAGGCGCATATTATACTGTGAATATCCTTATAATTCGTACTACTATTCGTACTAAATTATATACCTGATCAGTGAAAGGGGATGTGATGTCTTTGTATTGGGCTTCTTTTCTTAATTAACAAAAACGTTTTTGGACTAAACTAAGTAAACTGCGCGAGTAGAATCCATTTTCACCAGAACTGGTTTATAATTTGTAACTTTGATATTAAACTTTGATTGCTGGTAACAGTAATGAGTACGATATTTGTTCACATCTGTATCAAGCAATTGATGGTGGAGCAGACTAACTTGCCAGAAGTTACAGTTCAGGACCCAAAATTGCAACACACCAATCTCATGTAGATTTACTCAGCAAGCACCATCTTAATTAATGATTTCACCTGTTATCAATTACCATCGGCATTGTTAGGTTTACCATCTTAGTGAAGGAGCGAGACTAATTAAGCTCCAAAATAATAAAATATTGCACATTCAAACTGTGTAGCTCAGTTTGGAATGCATTGGTCTTGTAAACCAGGGGTTGTGGGCTGCATTCTTACTGTGGTAAAGTTGATTTTTCAGCTTGCCTGGTATAAATTTACTCAGTGTAGCAACATATTAGTAATTTCTCCTGTGTATGATTACCATCAATATTAGATTTAACACCAGCCTTGTATCTTACAGTTCAGTTCTTATGTACTTGGTGCAAAAGATTTTAAGCAATATAACTTGTAGAAGTTAATTGATTAATTGTTTTGGCAACACAGCATATTGTCCAGTGCACATGGTTAAAGATGCGCTACCTTCAAATATTTTCTGTTCTTCTTTTTAGTGTTGGAAAGTTCACGATTGGCAAATTTCAAGCTGTAGTAAATGCACAACCTCAAAAACAATTTTTGTATCTTTCATGATGTAGTCCAGAAAGTAATTTGTTGGAACATGAAGACCTTCAAATGTGTTTTCTGTTTGATCAAAGGCCTTGAAGAAACAAAACTGCTTCCTGTTATCATCTAGGTCATTACATTGGATGGCATTTGTGCATGTAGGACAGTTGCAGATCTTAATAGATTTATGGATCTAAACTCAAATTTATGGAACTAAATTATATGGATTTATGGAACTAAAATCAAATCAAAGTGTTGTTTACATTTTTGGGGTTGTACAACTTGTACATAGTAGAATACACTAGATGTTAAAGTTTCATTTACTTGGTTCCCTTTGTAAAAAACAACATCCGATTTGTTGCAAGTTGAAACCAGTTTTATTGCCTGATATATTTTACTCTGCCAACAAGTCTTAATAACTAAGGGGCTATTTACATGAGCCTGACTAGTCCTGCATGTTAACCGAGGCACCCAGCTTAATACAAATCATTTAACAAGAATCTGCCTAGCCGAGATCTCACTTGAGTCAAAGGGGACGCCCGGATAACCAGGCTGGAATTTTCCCATGTAAAGTCACCAGCTCATGTAACCTGGCTAGCCAGGCCTTCAGCCTGGTTAACCGGGCCAGCCTACATGGCTACCCGGGCTCATGTAAACAACCCCTAAGGTGATAGCAACAATAATATACTTGGTGCTAAATGTAATATAAACTTGAGTAACAGAGAAAATTCTCATCTTCAGATTATTTTCCCCTCATTGTAGAGTAAACTGTTAATATGTATCTTAAAAACTAGAGTGTATATTAGAATCTCACAGATTTATAATTTAAACTGTCATTAAGATAAATCAGGTCTTTTATTGTCTGTTTTGTAAATGAGGTTCCTTGATAATGTCAAAGGAGGCCTTGTCAGTTGTGACTTGACACACTTGTGATACCAAATTTGTAAAGTCACCGCTTGAGGATTTTAATAGGTTCAAGTCAATATATTATCCCTAAAATTTACTTTAGAAGAAGAAGTAGGTCTAGCAATTTCTTTCATATCGCAATATTATTTTATACGATTGCAGGCCAATATGCCAAGTTGAATTACACTGTATTGAATAGTTGATCACAGATTCACTGAAGGTCCGATGAACTGGATTTATTTCCTTCATTGTTATGGCATTCACGTCCTTAATCTTTTTGTACACCATGAAATATCACCAACTTATCACTCAAAACATATTTTACGGCGATCGGACTAACCACACATAAGCTATATAACTTTATATGTTTATCACTATTCGCCAAAGACCGAGGTGAAATTAATCGATGCATGACAATGGCCAAATTCCACGCTTAAATTCGTTTTCATCCTCGTAGTAACAATTAAATCAAAGAACAACCTCTTCTTTATGATATTTCAAAGTATCATGAGTTTTGCTTGGATACATAAAAAGCTAGAGCACTTTTAGTGGCTCTATTTCGTATTCCGCCATATTAACTCCTATAAAATTTCCTCTGGTTTGGTTGCTTTCAACATGGCGGCCACACCGGAAGTCGGCTCACATTCTGGCACACTTTTTACCCTTGAGTGAACCTTCTGCCCTTATCTCTTCTGTGCCAGGGCTTATGGCAACGCAGGCAGCCGAGAAGCCCTGGGAACGAGGATGACTCATCAGCCAAAGGTTTGTTTAGATGTCACGCGATGAAACCACTGAGCTATACTATATTACTGGAGGACCTGCTCGGCATCAAAAAGTGTCGCCAAAAACATGGCGGATTTCGGCCTTTGCTGACGCCAGAATGACGCCATATGGTTCCTCCGGCTCATGGTAATTACCACTGACCAGGCTCAATTTTGAGCCCGCTACGACTTTCACCCCCCCCCCTGGTTCTTATTAAAATATTTTAGCTTGTTGAAGTCTTTGCAGTATATTCTCGTAGTTTTTGATTTTTTCATATTTTTTGGACCTTTGACCACTGGTTCAAATGTGTGCAAGTCATACACATTATATTTTCGTCCTCAAAAGACAGAAAACCTCACAATACATCGATAAAGACGATATTTGAAGCCGCAACTACAGGTAAAATATTTCTCAGTTCATAACTTGAAATATTCACACACTCGAGCAAATTTTCTACAAAAATCGTTGGGATTAACTGTGGTACAATGTATTATATTTTAACCACAAGTATGTAAAGGTCTCTAAAGCCTTGTTGTACAAAGTAATCAACTTTTGTTTCATTTAAATCGTGAGCAAAATGGTGTTTTGATCTATTGTTTTACATGCTCTATTTGTTGCATATTTTATGATCAACTGTTTTGAATAAGCCTGCAGTTTGTATTTCATGATACTATTTTGAAAATTTATAATTTTGTGTAGGTGGTACGAAACTGTGCATTTTACAAATATCAAATTATCTTAACTTGATCCTGAGGACTGATTTTATGACATGATTCATGAAAGTACAGTATAATGTGCTACCAGTACCACAGTCTATATTTTGAGGGAATAACAGAGAGAATTTATAATATTTTATATTTTGTACTAACCTGCAAAAGCTAGAGGTACTCAAGGAAGCTCTTTCTGCTGTCGGAGTACCTTAGGTTAACAAGTTTTGAATCACTATATTGTAGTTCTTGGGCGGGGGTTCTAGTTAGTGCAGGATGATGCAACTACTGTAGCTAAGGCTAAGACAAATAAACCTTGACGTTTCAGCCGAAGAGCCTGGGGCCTTTATATTCGTTCTTATTTTTTTAGGTTTTGGTGTCATACACATAGGACTGGGTCATGCCAGAAAAGATCCACACTCCACCCACAGAGGAAATTTCTGCCGTCCGGAGGGGAAGGGGAGAAAAAATTGTTTCTGATAATAGTAAATGTATTGGGACATCCGAACGGGATAAGAGGTTAACTTCCAATTTCCTCTGTGGGGGTGGTATGGATGTTTTGTGGAATGACCCATTAGTTTTCTGTGATTTCTAATAGTTTTTTTGATAAATATAATTCTGAAAAAACAATTGACAATTTATATTTAACTTGGTCACTCAACTTGCCGACAAAGTTCAAGCATTGTTGTCTGAAAACCTAGTGTATTTCTTTTGTATTCCTCATTTTCCCCTGATATGATTTCTCATGCTTTTTCTCTTTTAGAACAACCTATATAATCTATTCTTGTTTATTGCAGAATTATCTACCACAATGATGCAGTTGAAATTGTATTATTTTAATTTAAATTCTTCAATGAATAATTATTAACTACCAATCACCAATGAGTCATTCCAGAAAAGATAAACACCAACTCCACAGAAATTGTGCTGTCTGAAGTGAGCAGAACTCAACTGCTGTCAGTAGTAAAAGTATTAGGATGTCTAAAGGTGGGAGGAAGCTGAACCTCCCATCTCTTCCATAAGAGGTGTGGATATTTTCTTGAATGACCCAATCATTTTGAACTAACTGTATAATTATATTAATCAATTAGTTATTCTGGTATAATGATCACTTTGTAGTCCCATGAGCTGTGACATCACTTTGCATTTTGATCTCTTTTCAATTTTCTTTTGGTAGCAATAACATATTATTTACTACTACAGATACTGTATTACTACACATTGTTACACCCAAATAAGATCATACACATCAATGTTAACTATCATGATAGAATACAGCTGTTACAGCAAGAACATTTTTGCTTCAATTCTTGTAATCACTTTGATGCCTGTAAGAGAAATGAGAAATAAAGTTACTTTGTTTATGATTGTTTTATTCTACGGTGTGTGAAACTGTTTCATGTACATTTCAAAATTAATTACAATGGGTGCATACTATAGGTTCTAGCCAGTTAGCTCAGACCACCACCCCTACTTTGCAAGTTACAGCTCTGGCTGGATTGGAACTGTTAGCTCTGGTGCACCACTAATCTTGTATAAATCTGAATTAACCCATTAAGTGCCAGCGCTCTCCCCGATTGATAAGTAAAATTATCTGGTGTTAGACAGAGTACAATAATCTGGCATTATACAGAGTAAACTTAAGTGATAAAGTAGGGTGCATCAGGGTGCAATGTTAACTAGGCTAGTTATCAGTGGTGGAAATTCACTTTTTCCGGGGGGGGCCCTTTCTGAAAATTTGTCATTTTCCACAAAGGTGGGGGGGGGGCGGCCGCCACTGCTAGTTATTAACCCATTAAGCACCAGCACTCTCTACTTGACGAGTAAAATCGTCTGGCATCAGACAGAGTAAAATAATAAGGTAGGGCGCAATGCGACTCAATGGGTTAACCTCTAGGGGACCTAAATAAATATGGCTTTCTTGTCTAAACATAAATCAAGACTCCCATGACAGAGGTATTTTCTGAGTGAAGGAGGTTCTTTGTTTGGAGATTTTTATGAGGCATAGAGGTTGACCTATACTAGTACTCAAGGTAATGCCAATGCAAGAATGATATAAGTGTAAATCATGCAAATTTGGGTATGCACAAGTCAATGATAGCTAGATGCTGACTGAAATGTAGTGCACAACCCCACAAAAAAAGCCTAACTAGTAACTACACAGCCAGCCGCCAGTTGGTAAATGCTGATACAAAACCTAGCAAGACTAGCAGTTTATAATATTTGTGAAGGATACAATACAGCTTGTTTTAATATACTGTATATATTAATCTAGTGCTAACTGCTCTTTATAAAAATAGAACAACAGCAAACTACAGATTGCATGAGCTGCTCTGCTGCTGTTTAAACTAATAAACTGCCACTAAAAACAAAAGCCAGTGCCTGAAACTAGAAACAAAGTGTATGAACACAATGTATAAATAACCATGTACAACGTTTTTTTATGTCTGCTCCAGAATATTGGTGTAAATATAAAATATAAAGTGTTTGACAAATAGTATATATTTATACCTCGATTTTATACGCATATCGGCCCCTGACTTTGCCAATCTAGAATTAGTCGAATAAAAGGTAAAAACTTAAAATTTTCACAAATCTTACCTTTCAGAAGAAATATTCTTCCCTTTAAAGTCATTACAGCGAATTTTTGCATCAACAAGCGGAGAAAAACGGCATGATTTTGTCTTGAAAACATAAAATATTTGTGCAAAAACAGGGGGGCGAAGGTCTTTGTCGGATGCTTAGGATCGCGGTTGGTCAGTGGTAATTCCCATGAGCCGGAGGAACCATATGGCGTCAGCAAACGTGAAAATCCGCCATGTTTTTGGCGACACTTTTTTGACTGACGAGAGATGGGAGCACCTCCTCCAGTAATTTAGTAAAGCTCAGTGGATGAAACGAGTACAAAGTACAAACAAAATGGCGGATATAGATGTACTTGATGCCTCAGTATTTTTGTATTTAGAAGACCTAATAGAAGAAGATTTATTTTATATGCTTGTAAAGGAATGCGAAGATACAGCGCCTGTATTTCCTTATTGGAAATATGATCGATTTTCGCTTGAATCCATGCTTGAGGACGAATGTTTATCGGAATTTCGAGTTTCGAAGACGGACATACATCGACTCGTTCGAGTTCTCCAAATTCCAGATGATATAATATGTGAAAATGGCACTAAAGCGTGTGCACTGGAAGGATTGTGTATCCTCCTGAAACGTTTTGCATATCCTTGTCGGTACAGTGATCTCATACCAAGATTCGGCAGGTCAAAACCTGAACTTTGCCTCATTTGCAACGAGGTAATGAGATTTGTTGTTGGCTCTCATGGCTACCTCCTAACATCTTTTGACCAAGAGTGGCTGCGAGCAAACAAATTGCAAGAATATGCCAGTGCTGTTTATGAGAAAAGTCATGCTTTGGGAAATTGTTGGGGCTTTGTTGACGGTACAGTAAGGGCTATCTGCAGACCAGAGAAAAATCAGAAGACAGTCTACAATGGACATAAGAGGGTCCATGCTTTGAAATACCAATCTGTTATAGCAGCAAATGGCCTCATAGCCAACCTCTTTGGGCCAATAGGTAAGTAATTTTTAGAATTTGTATTTATATGAATGAAAATTTATTGGAAATCTCATATTCATTAATTATTAATTTTTATTTTTTTATTGTTTTTGATGTTACTCTGAGTGTATATCCACACCGGGCAGGCTGAAAAATTAGCCTGACCACGGTGGGAATCGAACCCGCGACCTTTGGGATACACATTGGTATCAAAGGTGCTAGACTTAGTTCCGAAATACCACACACTTGAACAGATAGTGCAGGTACTTTTGTCCTGTAAAAAGTGACAGCAGTCTCCACTCTGCTCCCAAAAAAAGAAATAATTTTTCAGAGCCTTAGTTTAACCAAATAATTTTGAGCAAACAATTTGTTAGACTGTAGCTAGATTATCAGTTTTAATTGCATATACCGGTTCCTTCATGGTTAAATGTCGATCAGATCTTTAGCTGCAGTCATGGACTCGGCCTGTTTTTAGGGTGTACTACGTACCGTGCTTGGCGGACAGTGGTGTAGGCCAGTTCACAAAATCCAGCACTGGCCAGCAGAGCACCAAATATGTTGCATAGGGCATGCTTAATCTATTGAGCCGCAATGCGCCCCAGTGTACCCTATTTATTTTTTTAACTTGTCTAACGCCAGATGATTTTACTTGTCAATGGAGTAACCAAAAAATCTTACAATGCACCCTACTTATTTTTTCACTTGTCTAATGCCAGATGATTTTACTCATCGATGGGGCCAGAGGCTTTGCAGCTTAATTATGGGTTAATAAATAGTTTATCAGTTAGGCTGAATGTGCAGATGTGAATAAAAGGCTGAACGTGAATAAGAATAACATAGTATTATAATAAAGGAAATATATATATACAATATAAAGTATTGCATGATAAATTTAATTTTTGCACCCCTTCCCCTCCCCCTTTGGGTTAATAATTTGATGCATGTACCATATTGTAACCCTTGTGCTAATTTTACAGAGGGAAAGTCTCATGATGCTGGCATACTGCGAAGATCTGATCTTTTGAACAACCTAGAAGCATATTGCAACAGTGAAGATGGAGAGCCACTCTGCATTTATGGCGATTCTGCATATCCTCAGAGGATGCATTTGCAAACACCTTACAAACATATTGATTTGACTGATGATGAAAAGGCATTCAACAAAGCTATGAGTAAAGTCCGAGTCTCAGTTGAATGCATCTTCGGTGAGATTGCAGGGTACTTTGCATTTGTGGATTTCAAGAAAAATCAAAAAATTGGCTTGCAACAAGTTGGAACAATGTATACTACCTGTGCTTTATTACGCAATGCCATTACCTGTTTATATGGCTCCACTACCGGCACCTATTTTAACTTGGATCCACCAAGTCTGGAGCAGTATTTTCAGTTCGACCGAGAGTTCGACGACATACACAACCAATAGACTGTTGTCATAATAATGGCAAATGTCAGTAAAACTTAAAAATGATGTTACATGAAATTTGATTGGCTATGCAACAGTTTGATATGCAAATTGTTGTTTAAAATTGAAACCGAAATGCTTATCTGCATTTGACATTATTATGAGAAACGTCTATTGTCAAAACGCCTTGTCAAAAAAAGCTTTGTCAAAAAACAGTTCTGAGAAAATTTAATAAACCCTTTACATACCCCCCCCCCCCCACCTTCCAATATACCATTGAATGCACCCACACCTAAAATTGAATAATTTACAAAACAGATTGAGTATATTATAATATAATA